ATATGAATTTTTTATTTTTATTGGCTTTTGGATCTATGATTTTTTTATTTTTGATCTTTGATCGATTTGGTTGATTTCTTTTTTATTTTTTATATTTCTTGTTATAATTAGCTTTTCTTGTCTTTTAATTAATTAACCAAAAGAAATATAGTTAATCTTTCCTATTCAAATGATTTGGTTTCTTTTTCTTCAATTTTCTTCATTTTAATTTTTTAGATCTTTGTTATTCTACTTAATATATATTTTTATTTGTTATTAATTTGCACTATAGTTTTTATGGATATTTGATTTTTTACTTCTTTTATTTTTTTAGGGTAAATTACAAAGACCCCCCCTGTACTATGGGGTTTGTGACAAAGACCCCCTTGTACTATGACCGTGAGACAAAGACCCCCCTTGACCATTAAGTCAGATGATGGAATGCATTAAATTACCAAAATACCCCACTAATTTTTTTCTATTTTTTTCCCTTTTTCTCTTAAAACCTATTTAGCCTATTCACTGACTGATTCGATTCAGGCGACAAAGCCTAGATACAAATTTTATATATATTGTTATTTCTGATTCTAATCATTTCTCTCTATCCTATTTTGAGGAGTGTATCCCTGCTCTTTCTTTGATCCCATTTGGTATGCATCTTCTGCGTTGCAGTCTTGAAATGGTTAGTTTGATTTAGAAACAAAAGAAACAAGAATAGAACTTGAAAAGTTTGAATTTCTTTTATGTTATTTCTCTCTCTCTCTCTCTCTCTTTTATTCATTGTCATCATATTTGGGATCTCGCCCACACTCTATTCTAACAATTCCTTTTTTTTGTTGGTATCAAAGTGGAGCAATGGAAATTTTCCACAAAGCCAAGGTTGTTCATCTCCGGAGCCACCACGAGAAGTACCTCTTCGCCGAGGAAGACGAGGAATCAGTGTCCTAAGACCACAACGGTTCGTCTTGGAATGCCAAGTGGGGTGTTGAGTTCGTTGAAGGGGGGAACTATGTTCGTCTCAAGAGCTGATATGGTAGATATCTCACTACCTCTAATGAGGTCTTCCTTCTTGGGATGACCAGGAAGAAGGTTCTTCAGACTACACCCAAAAAGTTAGATTCCTCCGTCGAGGGTATCATTATCACTCTGGTTTGGTTGAAACAAATAAGATTAGTAGTGATTCTTTGGTAATTCAAACAGATGGATTCGGGGGTATTAAATTGATAGAGGGAGAGAGGAAAGTAGAGAAAGAGATGGGAAAGTCGGGCAAACCGCTGCTGCCGAGAGTTGTAGTGGCGATCTGGAAAAAGAAATAGACAAGGGAAGGAAATGATGAACATTAAAATGGGTTTGGAAGGTATTTGATCTAGAAAGAAGAAGAAGAAGAAGAAGAAGAAGAAGAAGAAGAAGAAGAAGAAGAAGAAGAAGAAGAAGAAGAAGAAGAAGGGAGAGAGGGAGAGAACATGCGGCGCAATTGGCATTGCCCGAAGTTGCAGTGGCGGGGAGTAACAGGGGAGGGTGAAACTAGAAAAGAAGAAGGAAAGAAGAAGAAGAAAGGGAAGAAGAGAGAAGATCGCGTTTGTGGTGTTTGTGATAGAGAGCTTGGGCTCTATTTCATCTTCTTGAGGAAGAAGATGGTGAATAGTGTGTTTTATTTCCAAGGGTAATTTTGTCATTTTCAAAATTTTTAAATCGCACATGATGTCACGTGATATACATAAACGGTCCATTAACGGTAGGTAATAGATTGTCGCATTTTGAAAGTTTGGGTACTGGATTGTCACATTTTAAAGTTCAGGGACCAAATTGTCACTCGAGCCAATGTACAGGGTATTGATCGGGAACTTTCCCTTATTTTATTTTACAATTTTTGTTTATTTTTCTTTTTTATGTTGTAATTTATGTTGTTTTCTTCAATTTGTATGATTTTCTATATTTTGTTTTGTAAATTTTCTCTATGTTTCTTTGTTTTTTGTAATTTATATTATGTTCTTCATTTTATGTGTTTTTTCACAATTATTTTGCAATGACAATATATACAATGGGAAAAAAAATAGAAACTTGAAGGTAAAGTTGGAAAGTAAAATCGGGGCCTTTCGACCAAACCAACTACAACATTCTCAATTTTTAGATGGTATAGATTGGTAATTTATGTTATTTTCTTTAATTTTTATGATTTTCTGTATTTTTTTGTAAATTTTCTATGTATTTCTTTGTTTTTTGTAATTTATATTATTTTCTTCATTTTATGTGTTTTTTTTTCATAATTATTTTGCAAGGCATATATACAATGGGAAAAAATAGAAAGTTGAGGGTAAAGTTGGAAAGTAAAAYTAGGGTGTTTTGACCAAACCAATTGCAACATTCTCATTTTTTAGTATGATATATAAAATTTCTATATTTTTTTTGTATTTCTTTGTTTTTTTGTAATTTATATTATTTTATTCATTTTATGTTTTTCATAGTTATTTTGCAATGACAATATATACAATGGGATAAAAATAGAAAATTGAGGGTAAAGTTGGAAAGTAAAATCAAGGTGTTTTGACCAAACCAATTTCAACATTCTCATTTTTTTAGTAGTATGGTATAGAAATTTTTATGATTTCCTATATTTTTTTGTAAACTTTTTTGTGTATTTCTTTTTTTTTTTGTAATTTATATTGTTTTCTTCATTTCGAGGAGAAAGGTGTATAGGATAAGAGAGACATCATTTCTACTTTGAATTAGGGGGAATGGATAAGATATACACTATATAGATAGGGGTTTAAAGGAGAGAACTAGGATTTTAGAATTTATGTCTCCACTTCATGTGTGAACGATGACATTTGGCCTTTTGCCTCTTGTCATTCTGCTCGTCAATAGTGGGGCCGTTATTTGTATATCTAATGGCTAATGCTTGGATATTGGTTGATCCTGGTTCGTTTATATTTGGATTCGAATTGAACATCCATCCGATTTATATAGAAGAGTTCAGATCTCCTACCAACAAAACACATTCCAAACCCCTACGGCCCTACCAAGTATCAAACCCCTACAATATTACGTTGGTAGGGTGTCAGGCCTGGGTTCATGCTTTGAGCTTTATATAAGGGTTGAACTTGGAATCAAGACCTAGGCCTGATGGTCTAACCAGGCTTCGGCTTAGGCCTGAATGTACTCTATTAATACAGAGACAAAGCTCGACATGAACCTCGACCTGACCCAACCCTTGAACAAGTCTAATTCCCCATTTGTATTGTTGGAAGAGAGCATGGACTACCATTTATGTATCATTGCAAATCAGTATCCAAAGCAAAAATACCATTCATCAGATCCCTAACCCAAAAACCACCCTTTTGTCCCCAACTGTACATAAGCATATTCTTGATCCCCAATAGTTGAAAGACTTTTTTGAGACAATACGACAAACTACTAATCTATTGAAGTTAATATCCACCAAATGGTCTTTTAGTTGACCTTCAACCTTGATATCCCCTGTTCTTTTGCCATCTCCATAGCATGGCATATAGTTGGCCCCATATCACTCTCTCTTGCTACACACTCCAAAACAAAGCGAGAAACAGTAGAAATCAAATGGAGTAGGCCACACTATGAGCTTTTACAACACTAATTGATTGCTTATATATATATATATATATATATATATATATATATATATATTAGTTGAACCTTAATTTCAAATATCTAAAGCCTAAGAGCATTTCGATATTAACACAAAATTGAGGGGAGGTATTTGCAACCTTGAGGGGGTTTAAGTATTTATTCCTAAATACAAATGATATTACTAATTGTGGGCGTTGGATTAGAAGAAGCAAATATTGAATTAAATGTGTCATAGATGAACCAAGCCATGTCCAAGCCTGGCATAGGGGGTGGCAATTTTCCCCATCATTGCTAGGTACCCAATATATATATTCTTATATCGAATATATTTAAAATATTATTTATATTTTAAAACTTTCCTTTATTTTAAGTGAATTTATTTTTTAAAAATACTATTAATTAAAAAGTTTCAGGGCTTCAGGTCCCTACAAGGAACCGTTTTCGTCGAGGATCAAGGATGGAAGACAACTTTTATCCTTGGTGGGATTTATTTCAAATTTGGGGTCAGGGACGAGGAATATGATCCTTGCCATGTTGCCATTCCTAGCTTGGCACATAGGTCGAGAGTTGAGTGTGACTATGTGAACTCGCCTTCTCCAAGTCAACTAGGGTAAGCCTAACTAGAGTTTTGGGAGGAATTTTGGGTAACAGTTTATGGCGTTCAAGGTGGGCCCTATAAATTATGTTTAGTGAAAATCCAAAAAATCCACGTCAATGTTCAGAGTTTTAGCGGAATAGGAATGACAATGGGGTGGGGCAGGATGGGGATCCGTCCCCATAGCTTAGAGTTTTTATGATATCAATCATTTTATTTTTATTTTTTATTTACATGCATACACATATAAATACATGTATATAAGCTTGAATCCCCACATGACAGAGATGAAAACTTCCCCCTAGGATGGAGAATACTCTCCTTATTCACGCCAATGGGGATGAAAACTTCCCGTCCCCATGCAAAAAAATCATCCCATCCCTGCCCCATTTGGGGCGGGTTCCTCTAGAATAGGGTAAATGGTGAAAATTGCCATTTCTATGAGCTGAGCGAATAAAACATTTACTTCTTCGGAACATGGATGATCAACAATCAACATTAACGGCCTTTACGTAACAGCTCAACCCAAACGTAGAACCCTCCCAAATGGGGCCTTATTTTATTTAGATTTAGAGGGACCAAATTATTAACAAATAATAATTTAGCACTTTGAGTTCAAAGTGATTCTATAGGGGGAATTTACAATGGAACTTTGTCGTCATGGGTAGGAACGTAAATAGAGGAATCAAATGGGAAATTCTGTAATTTAAAACGGTAGAACGTTGGACAGTGGAGCCTGGAGCTACAAAAGCACACCTGAAACGAGAGATTAGAGGAGAAAAATACAAAATTAACTGTTAATAATTCAACGGATCAGAAACAAGCAAATTGGGAAGAGTGGCGGAGAGGGTAGAAACAGTAACCGATTGATTAACCCATCTGCGAATGAGAGAAAGAGAGAGGTGATGAGAAAGCTACAAAGCACACCACTTCATAAAGCGAGTACGGCAGAGTTAGAGCCCCTCCGATAAAATCCAGATGAGTTTGTAAGAAGAATCTTCCGGGGGACAAAGAGAAAAAGTATGGGAATGGGAAGCAGGGAAGGAACAAACCACACTACCCATTCGTCATCTGCTGCAAGCAACATGAGACCCAACAATTCTAGCAGCAACAAGAATAAAGCCATAGCTCAGTACAATGCAGATGCAAGCCTCCTGGCTGAGTTCGAGCAGTCTGGGGAGTCAGGTAAGTACTTTGACTACACCAAGTCAGTTAAATCTACACCTGATTCTGTTCCTGAAGAACATATTACTGCGTATCTCTCGAAAATCCAAAGGGGTGGACTCACCCAGCTCTTCGGTTGCATGCTCGCCATTGAAGAACCCAGTTTCAGGATCATAGCTTATAGTGAAAACACTATCGACATGTTGGGTCTTAGCGGTCTACTAGATTCAAAACAATTAAAGAGTCTGCTTGGCGTCGATGCTCGAAGCCTTTTCACCCCTGCTTCCGGGGCGTCTCTGGCTAAAGCTGCTGCCACCAGAGAAATTTCATTGTTGAATCCAATATGGGTCCATTCGAGAAGTAACCAGAAACCATTTTACGCCATACTCCACAGAATTGATGTGGGTATGGTCATTGACTTGGAGCCAGCTCGGCCGGGCGACGCTGCGTTATCTGTTGCAGGTGCAGTTCAATCGCAGAAACTCGCTGTTCGGGCAATTTCCCGGCTGCAGTCACTTCCTGGGGGTGATATCGGAATCTTATGCGATACAGTTGTGGAAGACGTTCAGGAGCTTACTGGGTATGACAGAGTCATGGTTTATAAGTTCCATGAGGATGAGCATGGTGAAGTTGTTTCGGAGATCAGAAGGTCTGATTTGGTGCCTTATTTGGGTTTACATTATCCAGCAATAGATATACCCCAAGCTGCGCGTTTCCTGTTCAAGCAGAACCGAGTAAGGATGATCTGCGACTGTAGTGCTGCTCCCGTCAGGGTTATCCAGAGCGAAACTTTGACGCAGCCACTATGCTTGGTCAATTCAACCCTTCGAGCGCCTCATGGTTGTCACGCACAGTATATGACCAACATGGGATCCATTGCTTCGTTGGTGATGGCAATTATTATCAATAATAACGAATCCAAAAAACTGTGGGGGTTGGTAGTCTGCCACCACACTTCACCCCGTTATGTTCCATTTCCTCTTCGCTATGCCTGTGAATTCCTCATGCAGGCTTTTGGACTTCAGTTGAACATGGAGCTTCAATTGGCAACGCAGCTGGCAGACAAGAAGATGCTTAGGACACAGACCTTGTTGTGTGACATGCTCCTCAGGGACGCTCCATTTGGCATAGTGACTCAGTCCCCTAATATCATGGATCTTGTAAAGAGCAACGGGGCCGCACTGTTCTATGGTGGGATGTGTTGGTTGTTGGGTGTAACACCAACCGAGGCACAGATAAAGGATATAGCAGAGTGGCTTCTTACAACTCATGGGGATTCTACAGGGTTGAGTACAGATAGTTTGGCTGATGCCGGCTATCCAGGTGCAGCTTTACTTGGAGATGCAGTCTGTGGTATGGCTGCTGCAAGGATTACTTCAAAGGACTTCCTTTTCTGGTTTAGGTCTCACACTGCAAAGGAAATCAAATGGGGAGGAGCTAAGCACCACCCTGAGGACAAAGATGATGGTGGAAAGATGCACCCAAGATCATCATTTAAGGCTTTCCTTGAAGTAGTAAAAAGTAAGAGTTTTCCCTGGGAAGTTTCTGACTTGAATGCTATTCATTCACTACAGCTTATTATGCGAGGTGCATTTCAGGATATTGATGACAGTAGTGCTAAGACAATGATCCGTGCACAACAGAATAATATGGAGATTGAGGGGATGGAGGAACTCGGTTCGGTGGCCTGTGAGATGGTCAGATTGATCGAGACAGCAACTGCCCCAATATTTGCTGTTGATTCGGCTGGGCTAATCAATGGATGGAATGCCAAGACTGCTGAATTGACAGGATTACCAGCTAGTGAAGCTAAGGGGAAGTCCCTTGTTAATGACCTTCTCCATGAGGAATCTCGTGAAGTTGTTGAATACCATCTATCTCAAGCTTTGAGAGGTATCGACTTTCTTATGTAACAATCACATGGCATATTCTTGGAGAGAACATCCGATTTGCTCCTATTGTCTAATATAGATATTCTTCTGTTCTATTTCTACATTTTTCTTTGTCATTTCTGTATATTAGTGGTTTACATTCTACTCTTAGCTATCTATACAATGATGGGATGTGCTGCCAAAATGATATTGTGGAAATTAAAGATTATAGGTTTTTGCTCTACAATTTTTGAAGTAAATGAAAAGCATTCTTAAAGAGATTGCAAAGAAATCATATTTGTCCATAGAAAGCCCTATAACTTTTCCTTTTCTCTTTCGGTGTTCTATCATTTTGAGTGTTTTCAGAGTCTGCATGCAAAAAATATAGGAGCTAAGCTTAAAACCCAGTGTACATTTTCTAACTTTTGTTTTTCGCAGACAATATAACTTTTAAATGATTTGTGTTCTCCAGGTGAGGAGGACAAAAACATTGAGTTAAAATTGAAGACTTTTGGGCTAGAGCAACAAAACCCAGCTGTGTTTATCATGGCCAATGCCTGCTCCAGTAGGGATTACACAAATACTGTTGTTGGCGTGTGCTTTGTGGGTCAAGATGTCACAGGAGAGAAACTGATAATGGACAAATTTAAACGCTTGCAAGGGGATTACAAGGCTATTATTCAGAATGTCAATCCATTGATCCCACCTATATTTGCATCAGATGAGAACGCTTGCTGCTCTGAGTGGAATGCAGCAATGGAAAATCTATCTGGTTGGAAAAAGGAGGAGGTTTTTGGAAAAATGCTTATTGGGGAAATCTTCGGGGGTTTGTGTCGACTGAAAGGTCAAGATCCACTTACTAAATTTATGATTCTCTTGCACCGAGCACTTGGTGGCCAGGATATCGAGAAGTTCCAATTTGGTTTCTTTGATAGGAAAGGAAAATATGTGGATGTTCTGTTAACAGCAAACAAGCGGGCTACCATGAATGGGGATAGAATTGGCTGTTTCTGCTTCCTGCAGAAGGTTGTTCCTGAACTGACACAGGCCTTAGAAGTGCAAAATCAACAGAAGAAGTGCTTTACAAGACTTAAGGAATTGGCCTACATTCAGCAAGAGGTGAAAAATCCTTTGAATGGTATACGGTTTACCCACCAACTCTTGGAGGCAACTGCTTCTGATGATCAGAAGCGGTTTCTTGAGACAAGTAATGCATGTGAAAGACAGATGATGACAATCATAGAGGACATGGATCTAGGAAGATTAGAGGAGGAGTAAGTCTTTTTCAGTTTCAGTTAATGACTCTACAAGCTTGCATATTTTCTCAGCCTATGGGATTTTATATCACATGCTTTAGCTTTATTAACATTATTGTATATACTCACACAAATGTCTGTTGTAATTCATGTTCTTTATTTCTTTCCTCCAAGATCCTCTAATTTTTATTGGCAACAATCACAATTTTGTCGTTTTATGCTGATGGAATTAGTTATTATGCCAACTCTCTTTTTTTTTATAATAAAAGAAAAGATTTCATTAATGATTCATTGAAAAGCTCTACCACTCGCTGTTTGGCCTCTTGCAATGAGAAAAAGATTGCATAGACGTTCAACCCGAGCCACCCACTCTTCAACCTTCAAGGTATTGAAAGAACTAGAGTAAAAGCTCCTGACCAGACATTTGTGAAGAAAAGCCTCCCTCAATGAAACTCCTTCCACCTTCATTCTGTTAAAAGTCTCAACCACCCATGCAGAAGCCCAAACTCCATGGTTCCCAAAGTTACAGTGTCCATCTTTTCATCCCTGCCATCCATTCGTGGTTCTAGCAAGACCTATTGGCGGTGTGAGGTTGTTGTTGCTCCACATTGATATGGATTCAACTTCTCCTTAGAATCTCTGACATCGAGCGATGTATTTGCTTCTTTGAGCTTTTTCTTTTTAAAGTGACAAGAAAACTCTTGGAATCGTTGAAGGAGAATCTGGAAATCATTTCATTTATCCAAGTTATTTGTTCAGGTAGATTCTCCTTGCATATAATGTTATTTTATGGATGAGTTATGGATTTATAGGCATAATGAGTTGTTTGGTATTCTACATGATATTATCTTAACTCATTCTCATATTTACTCACATTTGCGTTCAAAAGAAAATTTTAGTATACAAGAGGTAGGTAAAAGAGAGATTGAGAATCCAAGGAAAGAGTATTGGAAGAGCTTACAGGTGTAGATCCTCCTGATAACTAAAACTTACATAGCATTCAGCTGATAACTAAACCCCAAAATCCAGCAACCCCTCCTCATTAAAGGAAGAGTATTACACCTTTATGATAACAAAAGAAACCAGCCAAGAACATTTCATCCATGTCAATTGAAGAACAGACATGAAACATCCAAAAATACATGACTTATAGAAATACCCTTTCCCTTGGATTCTTTACTTCAGATATATATATATATATGTTATTTAGTTGTCAGTGCAGCTCATATTTGCCAACAAGAGTAGTTACCGGTGGTCAAATTGTTTAAAATTTCAAAGGCTGGTGCCAAATCATCATAATGATATGAGTTCCACTGATACATTGTTGATATAGAATATATCTTTGCATCAGCAAAACTTGTTACCTTTACCCCTGGCCATCTGATTGTGAGGTACCTTGTTCTAACAGATGTATGGAGCTAAACATGACAGAGTTTCTATTGGGAAGTCTTGTAGATGCTGTTGTTAGTCAAGTAATGATTTTGTTAAAAGACAAGAATTTACAGCTGTTTCATGAGATACCAGAGGAAATGAAAACTCTATCCCTTTATGGTGATCAAATTAGACTACAGCAAGTCCTGTCAGATTTTTTGCTGAATATAGTGCATCATACACCATCTCCAGATGGTTGGGTAGAAATCAAGGTTACACCCTGTTTAAAGCTGGTACAAGATGGGGTTGAACTTTTACATTTGCAGTTCAGGTATTATTAAGTTCATTAATATGCTTTATTCATCATTCAGAAGAAAGAAAAGAGGAATATGTTCTTTATCTTTATATACCACTTTTAAGCTGTATAATAACATACATCTAGTATATTTCAACACTTGTTGCTATTTCTTCTTTAATTGCATATTAAAAGTTTCTGAACTACTTCTTGCATTATTATTATTATTATTTATCCATTCCTTTTTATTTATTGATTGATTCATCCTTGGTGTTCGTATGAATGAGGAGGGTTGTCATCAGCACTTTTAGAGAACACTATTTAATGTGTACGTGTGTTGCACCTAACAATTTCAGATGATGATGATGATGATCATAATAATAGTTTGATTGGGAAGAGAAGAAAAGAGAAAACAGAGAAAAGACGAAGGTTTGAGAAGGTTCTAAGTGGTGTGGTGGCGCCCACCTAGCTATTATATAGTAGGGTATCATAAAGATGGATAAGAAGACAAGTATACCCTTGGGTACACTTAAGTTACATAATACAGCATTAGACACAAATTTACAACACTCCCTCTCAAGTTGGGTCATACATATGATTCTTTCCCAACTTTTTTCAAAGATCAGTGAGCTGAATGCTTGTTACACCCTTAGTAAATGCATCGCCTATTTGAACCTACATAATGACTACAAATCTCTCTCCTTTCCAATCTCTCTTGATAAAGTGTTTATTAACCTCAAGCTTCATGCTCTCATGTAACACTGGATTGTGAGTTATGTTAATTGCAGTAGTGACATAGACTAGGTGTTCCAAGTCTGCAAAAACATTCTTAAGCCACAATTTCAATTCTATGAGCCATAGACCTATACTCAGCCTCAGCATTACACCTGGTCACCACATTATGCTTCCTACTCCTCCAGGTCACTGGATTTTCTCCAACAAAGGTATAGTAACCTGTAATGGATCTCCTATCATCAATTTCCCCAGACCAGTTTGCATTTGTGTATCTCTACTATTAATTATCCATGCTTAGAGAAAAGAATACCTCTCCCAAGATGTTTTCTCAATTATCTAAGAACTCATTTTGCTACAACAAGATGCATATACTACTACAACAAGATGAGTGGAGTTATTGAGTCTTCTTTGAATTGAAGTAGGATATGACAGCTTAGTTTGAGTCCTACTAAGATTATTGAGTCTAACAGTTTGACTCCTAAGACTATGTTGAGTCTAACAGTTTGACTCCTAGGACTATTATGAGTTTAGAGTCTATAAGTATGTATGGACGTTTTACACAAAGGCAATGAAATATATTGAGTTTACTTCAGTTTATGCTAACTATGGTGAGTGATTCCCATGCCCTAGAGTGATTCTAGGCACCCTGTGAGTGATTCCAGGTATTTTTTCTCTTCTTTGTATCTCTATTTTCTCTCTTATTCCTTCAAGAAGTCATTACAGCCATCAACAGCCATAAAATTCTGATCAAGAAAACCATTCAACATTCTCTAAGGACTAGAACTGAGCTGGTCCTACATCAGTTTGGTATCAGAGCTAATGGTTTATTCACTATGTTCTCACAAAGTGACCGATTCTATAGGCCTAGGGTATCTTTTAAACAAATCTTATAGGTCTAGAATCAATGATGATTGGGTTTCTGAACCATATGAAGGGTCTTTGGTTGACTTATTTGAGAAGATGGTGGAAGAAAACAGATCTAATAATGTTGACTACGGGAGTAAGGTTTTCAAACATGTTAGAGGAGAAAGGGAAATACCAGATTTCAAAGGAGATGATGATCCACAAGCAATTTTTTTGATTGGGCTGCTGAATTAGAAGAATATTTTGATTGACATGATGTCTGACAAACAAAGGATTAGATTTGCACACATGAAATTGATGGCTCATGATAAAGTATGGTGGAGAACTCTTGAGCTACGATTAGAAAATAGAGGTGATGATCCCTTTAGTACATGGGCAAAGATGAAGAGATGTTTGCAAGAAAAGTACAGCCCATTGGACTTCCATTATGATCTATATATGGAGTTGACTAATTTCAAGTAAGAGAAGAAGCATCAGGTTACAACATAGAACTTGAAGTCAATGGGAATAAGGTACAGAGTTGAAAAGAAAGTAGATGATTCCTTGCATGTTGATGCCTATCCTGGAGCTGAAGTTGAGGTGAAGCTAAAGTAGAAGAATTTCAAGCTATAGAAGTTGTAGATATTAAAATTCAAGAAGGTGTAGGACAAGAAAAAATAGAAATTGGAATTTCCAACACCCATGATCAGCTTGAGGTTAATGATCAAGAAGAAATAGGAGTGGAGCAAGTTAAAGAAATTCAGGTGCAAGATACAAATATGCCGAGTGTAGTAGGTCCTAGTAAGGAAGTATGTGACTTTACCTTACAAGTTCAATTGTTCAATTAGAACTAATTCAAGAATTACGACCTAACATGGCACAAGTTCCACCGACATCAACAATGGAAGAAGTCGTAGAGTTTACTGAAAAACCAAGGGTAGCAAAACACATAGAGATGGTGATTCCTAAGCTAGAAATTGAAGGAAAAGTTCCAAATGTTGTAGTTGAGATTTTGGATAAACGAGGGGAAGATTCATCACAATGGAAGGTTGATGATTTAAGTGTTCAAGAAGCCAATGTTATTGATAATTTAACAAAGATGGTTATGGAACGTAGTGTTTCAGAAATGCGTTTCTTTCAAGATCCTTTTCTAGTTCTGTGTGTGGCCACTACTCTACAGTCCAAGCACGTAGCTGTGGGAAGTCCTACTTTTGTCATTGGGGCATACCAACTTTTCATCCTCAAGTTCTTCAAAACTCGAGGATGAGTTTTTTTGAACCAGGGGAGTATGACGCAGGGGTTGAAGAGTCAAAATTGGAATTTTATGTATTTCTGTATTTTTGGACAATAGGGGTATTTTTGTCATTATGAAATTTTCTGTGGGGTCCAATGATAGGGTTTAATTTGTCTAGTTATAGTTTGTTTATGCTTAAAAGTTCAGAGTCATTGCATAAGTAGGATTAGAGTTATTGAGTCTTCTTTGAATTGAAGTAGGATATGACAGCTTAGTTTGACTCCTAGACCATGTTGAGTCTAACAGTTTGACTCCTAGGATTATTATGAGTTTAGAGTCTATAAGTATGTATGAACGTTTTACACAAAGGCAGTGAAATATATTGAGTTTTCTACAGCTTATGCTAACTATGGTGAGTGATTCCCATGCCCTAGAGTGATTCTAGGCACCCTGTGAGTGATTCCAGGTATTTTCTCTCTTCTTTCTATCCCTATTTTCTCTCTTATTCCTTCAAGAAGCCATTACAGCCATCAACAACCATAAAATTCTGATCAAGAAAACTATTCAACATTCTCTAAGGACTAGAACTGAGCTGGTCCTACATCAATAGGCAATGTCTGTTCTAGTCATAGGCTTGCCAATAAGTCTCTAGAACTACTTAGCATCAGGAAGAATTTCATCCTCATTCTCCCCAGGTATGTGATTAGCCTTGATTGAGGTGTCAGCTAGTTTGGTCTCCAGCTTTCCAAAGATCTAGGATGTACTTCCTTTGGGAGATAAAGATGCCTTTATCTAAACTAGCAATTTCAATCCCAAGAAAATATTAAGTGGACCTAGATCCTTTGAATTATGATCCCAAAAACTCTTTTAGGTTCTAAATTTTAAATTCCTAGTTGTTGGTGAGGACACTATTATCAACATAAACAATTAAGATATCTATCATATTTTTGTCTCTCTTAACAAAAAGAGTGTGATGAAACTAGCATCGCTTAAACCCCACTTGTTGTACCACACCATTAAACTGATCAAACCAAGCCCTAGACGATTACTTTAACTCATACAAGGGCTTCTTGAGACCTTCTCCTTATTTTCTTTAGTGTGGAAGATTGGAGGCTGGATCATATAACCTCTTCTTCCAAGTCCCCATTTAGAAAGAAAAAGCATTCTTTATGTCCAATTGATGTAGGTGTCAAACCACAATTAGCAACAAGAGAGAAGATTCATTTGAGTCTTTCTTATTTGGTGATAGATTATCAAAAATAATTGATATTTTTTAAATTTGTTTTGTAGTTTGGTGGTGTCTTAGCATAGGGTTGTCTTTAAGGGTCATAGTAGCTCAAAAGGCATGGTAGAAAGATTTTAGAATTTTGAAAGCTTGAAGATGCAATCACATCATTTTTGTTTAGTCTATTTTTTTAGGGTCAAAACTTGTCTATTTTGTTTGATCTTGATGTCATGAGATAGGTTATTGAGTTGTCTATCCAATGGGACAAATGCTTGTAAATCCAGTATGTTTAGAGTGAGTTATGGCTATTTTACCAATAAGGTGTTAGTTTGTTACAGGATTTGGGTCTAGTTTTTTAGTTTACTCATTGATTTGTTTTGGTTCATTTAATTTTAGTAGAATTAGTAATAAGTTATTATGGTTGTTTTCATAGTTCAAAGTATTGATACGATACACCCCATATCATTCCGGAGGGTCACCAAAACGCCTATTTTTAGGCTTTTGGTAGTTTTGATGTTTTTAATTTTTAAAGATAGGTATTATAAGCCCCCTGTAAAAATATGAAACTAAAAAATAAAAAAAAAAATAGTGTATTGGTCACCCGAAATGCCCCAGATACATGTTTGAACATATTTTGGCTGTATCAACTTTGAACCATGACTTTTTTAGGGGTTAGAGTCCACATTTTATTGTATTTATGGGTTACCTATGAGCTTGTCTTAGTCCTAAAGCAATTAGGAGTTTTTTTTTTTCACTGAAAAAATGATTAGGAGTTGCTGTTTTGAAGTCACCTGCAAGTAAGAATGTAATCTTCTTCTTCTTTTTTGAGGGAAGGTAAAGTATTATATTAAACTGATCAAAAGCATGTACAAAGCCCTGCACAGTAAGATACTGAGCAGGGGCCAATATCCTCTCTGTACAGCAACTATTCTGTGTGCATAGATACAAAAAGATTAATAAGATCAAAAAAAGAAATGTAAGATGTACTCTTGAAATACGTATGTACTGCTACCCAAGAGTATAT